CATTGTGCCACGGTGGGTTCAGTCATATTGTCCGTGGGTAAAATCCATTGTGCGAAAGACGAAACACAAACAAGCCATTGGGTCCAGCAGCCTTAGTCTGTCTTGTTTATGTAGCGTCGTTGTTGGATGGTGTCACGTACGGTACGATGTCCACAACAGTGTACTGGTACGTGATGTATTGGTAGGCTGATACCAGTACGTACGATTGTGTTACAAGTCGTCATTGTTACCTTGAGAAAACTGTACAGGGGCTGTCAGCCGTGAGTACAGTCAGCGTACAGTACAGTACAAGTTGACTGGACGACAGTCTACTGTACTCAGAGTATACTGTACGGTCAGGACAGTACAATGTAGTGTACTGTACTGTACTGTACTGTACTGTACTGTACGGTCAGGACAGTACAATACAGTGTACTGTACGGTCAGGACAGTACAGTACAGTGTACTGTACTGTCGTACAAGTTGACTGGACGACAGTCTACAGTATGTACAGTACAGTACTTCACACAAGCGACGTCACAGTTTGCATAGTAAATTAGCCACTCAATGACTGCTATGTCAATAGACCTTCAACTTCACTCTCGCCTTCAGTCGTCTGCAGTTGACTGTACAACTGAGTGAGTGTACATAGCGATTCTCCTCCGACCGGCTGAAGTTCATTACCATACACTAATGACTGGTAATGAGTCCACTGTTATTGCATGGTAATTTCTCGTTCAATTTTGGAAATTGATTGCCACAACCTTGGGTAAGTTAATGCAAATGGTTAAGAATATCAATGGAAGACTTTCCTGAACAAGATTGATGTTAAAAGGAGTAGCCAATAGTCTTGTTGAACGCTCATTTCTTCTATACAACGCCAACGCGCGTCAAGACTTTGTCCACTTTTGACTAGAAAAAATATTTTATTTTTTTCACTAACGTTCCGACTTATGAAACGGATAAAATGTCTTTAGTCGTACAAGAAATTCATTTTACCAGTCGAGAGTCCGTCTTTGGATAGTCTGTTATAGATCATTGGAGAGGAATCGGATGTTGCTATAAAAAAAATATCCTCGATATTTTAGTGTCACCCCAATAGCCAAGAAACTGACTTTTTGTTTCGAGTATCCACTCTATTTAATACACAACATTTTCCTACTTTATAATAATGAAAAGGAGGAATAGACTTGCAATACTTTTAAATGAATCGCTAATGTTTTTTAGTTTTGTATAGCCATCTAGTATCGATACAACTATCCGAGTTTCCAGTGCTACTCTATCTTAGTCGATTTTCAATTCACTCTTGACGGATCGATTACGTACTGCACATTGAGGAAAAACATCCTATCAAGGTTATTCAAAGTTGTAGGACTAAAATTTCAGTTTTTACTGACAGTATCTTTAATTAATACTGAAGTATACAGTGGATACATTGATATGAAAGTTCTATTGAAGTACAACACCATACATTTCAGAGAGTAAAGATTTCACTTTTTTTTATACTGAAATGACGTCTACGGTAAAATTCAGAAAATATAAGTCATATTGATCGCTTCTGTATGACTTGTAATATTGTTGTTCTACTATACATACTGTAGAAATGAAATACTTACAATATCACTTTAGTCTAGTACAGTATCAGTACTTATACAACATTGGATTCTAATACGCTATTGTCTTGAAATTGATTCTATTTTTCAGAAAGCCTAATCGCTATATTACGTTGAAATATTATGACATAGAGAAGTTGATTCTCTCATATGTTATTGGATATCAAGAAAAAGTAGATTGGTCTTGGATTTTTGGATGCTTATTTATCAATTTTTGCAACACGAGTGCTGATCGTCTGTTACATCAATTTTAGCAAGATATTCATCGTCTACACTCTCCCATTAATAATAATCAATACTTTGCATCGTACTTTATACCGCATTGTTTCAAGACGTTTATTACGCAAGGAATGATATGAATAGGCGATATTCACCCTAAGTTATAACAGGAAAATAGATTAATTATTCTGCCATACATATTACTCGATCAAGATGCCTCAAGAACACAGCGATAGTTCTGCAAATGAGTCGACCTCCGGTCGTAGCAAAAAACAGTCAACAAGCAGTGGCGACGGAGCGGTGCAAACGCAGGTAAGCAACTTAGTGATTAATATTGTCTGCGTAATACATCATAAAAAGTTATAGCTAGGGTACTTTAGTGAGTTACGTTAAAATAGATGAGAAAAAAATCGATCAGCAATACCCAGCTACAACGGAAAGTACGCTTATTGTCATTTTGCAGTAGATAAACTACACTCGCAATGACAATTTAACTCATTCTGTCCCTAAACTAATGTTAAATCCGTTACCTACGTTAACGGAAAAATTGGTAGTAATGAATTAAATTTTTTTTTAGTTTACTTTTTCATCTTCAATTTCATGGAATGCTACCATTTCAAGATTATACCAAGTCTTCCATGTTCTAGTTATCTACTCCACTCAATGCCATGGTAACGTTCCAATTCTTTAATTGATGTCTTTAGTACGTGATCTCCCGTTATGCCAGTAAAATTAAGTGGGTAGTTATATCTCAGTCGGGGTCGGGAATGATGAGGTTTTTTATTGCAAGTTCACGGTAGACTTTTCATGGAATGACATCATATCGAAAATCACATGAAAGTTTGAATTGCGTTGGCTACTGTACTATAGTGTACCGTAGGCTACGTTCAATACGATGTGTATCATAACACTTGAATGTTGGAGTCAATATCTTTAGCTGTTGATTCCAGCTTTTTAGCTATTACACTAATTGGGTTATTACATCTCGGTTGGGGTCGGGACAAGGTTTATATTGAAAGTTTAGGTTAACTTTTCACGCAAGAACGTACCATCAAAGATTATACAGCTAGATTTCTGATCGGTAATACAGAATGCTGTAGTGAGTACTGTAAAAGTGTTGCACTGTAATGCGTAGTATAGACGTTCAGTGCCATGGTAACGCTGGAACAACCACGCTCTATAATGTTATACTATAGGTATTGAATTTTTCGTCATACGATATGTCCTGTATTTATAATGATTTAGTTAAGTTAATACAGTATTTCTCAGTTGGGATCGGGAGTTGCCACGTTATACATATTAGTCATGCACTACTTGGACTTTCGACGTAAATTTTTAAACAGTTAGCTTAGTTGTTTTAATCGCTTTAAACTTACCAATTTGCGTTAACCAACGTGCGTGGTATAGAAGATTATTACCAATATATACAGTACTTGACAAACAGTATGACTACAAAACAGTTATCAATGATAAAACGCGAAACAATTCTAACCATAGTTCAACAATGTAAGGCAAGACTTCGATTGAAATCGCGAATACAGTAGTTTTTTAATGCCAATTCTAGTTTCTAACATTAGAGTGCAAATTGATATCTTGCTTCGCATCTGTCTTATTGTTAATAGCCAACTTCTAGTTTTTACTGTTACAATAGTATTAACGCTGCTGCGTAAGCCCCAATCTATAAATTGGGTACCGTTTAATTGACTGCTGCAATTATCGATATGCCGTTAAATTGGTCAGAGTTAAAAATAAATTAGTCAGATTATTTGCCAAGTCGTGGTAGAATTGTAATTTCTTCCAATGATTGCTAACTGTAAAACCAATTTAATTGATGCCACCATTTTTATATGATTTCGTACTACTGTACTGATTAAAGTTCTACGCTCGGTTGGATTACCATATCAAGAACTATTGCATTACATTATGCGCACATCTGACATTCTCAGATCGTTACTACGATATTAGTTGTTCTACTATTATTGACTAGATTAAATGCCTCAGTGTATGTTAATTATCATATACAAGTATGGGATAACTTTATACTAATCTCCGAACGAACAGATAGACGTAATAATGACTGTAATGTCCATGTATTTGCCGATGCGATATAAATTGGCATACCTAAATATTTCTATCCTAGGCAAAGCTGCTTTAAAGCAATAGTCTTTAAATTATTATTTGAAGAACTATATTGAATTGAATTGAATATTTTAATTCTTCTACTCTTTTTGTTCTCTTTGATAATACTTCCTATCTTAAAGAGAGTTTCCAAAATTCTATATAGCATTTTTGGTATTATATAGAGCTTGCCATTTAGATCAGTAGTCAATTTATAGCAAAAGTTCCGTTGGCATTAAAATAGCGGCCCTATATTAAGTAAATATATTTCGACATGCTTCAAATAAATAGTGGAATGGGTCATTTATGTGTACTAGCGTTGCATCCGCGTAAAGCAGAGATCTACATTGAGACATTATATCCTTACTGAAACTATGACAGTACAATAGACTCAACCAGTATTATTGTCTTGGCTATTAAATCTCAAATTCAGAATATCATTAGATGTTTGATGGTACATCTTTGGTTGTTTCTTTACTAATTTTTACAAATTAAAAAAGCCGACTTATACCTTATGCTATAAGCTTTTGCTATTGCATTAACTAATGAACGAATTTTTAAACCATTGATACAGCAATCACAGTAGATCATTAAGGCCTTATTACGTTGATCAATATCCTTACTAGATCCCAGTTTCTCGCGATACTAACTATTTCTCTATATTCTATAATCTTTCCAAGATGTGGGGAATTTTAAGAAGGCAGAAAAATGTTCAAAAGTCATTAGGCTCAACAACCAATGGTTCCGATACAAGTTCAGTTAAATCACAGGTATGCATTCGTATGTACCATGCCTATGTTAGGTCTGAAGTTGATAGTACCCGAAACGCTACGAATTATTCATTTACTCACTTCTGCGATATAACGAGTAGAATAATTACTTAAATAAAGCGTAACAGTCTGAAATTTCAGTGTTAACTTTAATTCTTCCATGATATATATGTACTATTGACTTTAATTAACGATGCTTAATACATAGTCTTAGTACTCTTGACACGTTTAAATTTGTTAAATTATCAACTCGCAATTTTTTGAAATTTAGGAAGAGGACAACAATATACGAAGATCATCGTCTGCGTCAGACGATAGTGAAGGTGTTGAAGCAGAAAGTTGTAGACGAGAATTAGAAGATCGAGCCCGCGTGTCTTTAGACAGAGCCAAGGTTAATATAGAAGTATTGTCTATGAGCCACTGCTAGTACTTCTTTATTACTCTTCTGTTACTTATTGTTATTGTTTGTGACAATCTGATGTAGTCTAAGACCATTGCCTTTGCTGTACGGGCAAATGTCGGTTTTAACGGTTCCGTTGACGATGACTCTCCGCTCCCTGGATATGCTGTATCATTTGATTCGAAAAGTTTCTTGCATGTCATCGAAGTAAGTTATTATTCTTCTTCTTTTTGTTTATGTCAGTTTGCATCACGAACACCTAAACTACTGATAAATTTTCTACTATAATTTTATAATATATTTTCTAACAAAAAACTTGCCTGTAAATTGCTAAAGGAATTTAATGAAGAATGGTGGATCGGAAGAGTTGTCAAAGTTGGTGCTGGATTTGGTTTTGTGCCTAGGTACTACAACCGATAGTGTTTTTATCTCATGATCATTACTGTTTACTAGTGTTATAATCGACGCTTTTACGGATCGAATGCTTTTGCTATATTTATTTTTGCTAATGTAATGTAGCCCAATAAAATTTGAAAATTTGAAACTGCAAAGCAGTATTACGTCCATCAAATCAATTCCCAGAACTACTGCTAGGTACTAATATTAAAAAATATGTTAACTAAGCCATTGTAATGTCGAATATGCATTATTTTATTGCATTAGTAAATAATAATATATTTTCGTTGTTGTAATAGATCTATCAGCAATCAAAATTATTTTAGTTACTACGTCAAGGAAGCTTCGACGTTTGTTGGTGCGACTGCTTCAGGTTTGCACTTTTATTGGACAGGATTTGTACTTTAGGTTGATAGCCTTACCGTTCGTATTGTTATCAATAGGGATTGATGAAATTTCTTCTCCACGTACTGTTGATATAACTTGCGAAGACGAGGAGGAATTCCCTGATGTCAAAGAAGAGCGTTCAGGAACCGGTCTTTCTGGCATTCGATCGAAAAGAATACTTTTTAAGAAGGTAAGTTTTAGCAATTACCTAGATATTCTTATCTTGCTGTTGTTCTTATACTTATTTACGTTTATGGAGAATTAAACCTAATCTGTTCTTATTACCATTAGATGGATTCTCAGTCACCTTACGACATCGTTCCCATAATGCGACCAATCGTTCTAGTTGGTCCATCATTAAAGCAATATGAAGTAAGATTTACTGTATTATTCTATCTGTATACCAAGTATTTATTTACGTATTTGATCTTAAAGTTGATAGTTACTAAGTTTGATACTGATTTTACTGTGTCTTTCTTGAATTATAAGGTTACAGATATGTTACATAAGGCCCTGTTAGACTATTTGAAGCAGAAATTCGCTGGAAGGTATAGTAAATGTGAATATTACTGATTTGAAATTAAGCACTGATAATCATGCTAAAGTAAAAATTTGATTGTGATAAGTAAATGGAAATTCATGCCAAGGATAACATATTTATTATATTATTATTCGCTTCAATGTAGAATTGCTTTTATGAAAGTGACTGCAGATTTTAGTTTAGCTAAAAAGATGACGCCACAAGCCGCAAGTAAAATTGCTGTAATGGAAAAAAACAGTAATAAATTCTCAGGATTAGGTATTACCTTTTGCTAATATATACTTTGTTTGAATGTAAATGAGCGCATCTTAAATTATCGTTTCAAGATGCACGATATCTATTTTACGGGCTATTTCCATAATATTATATTGATGCAATTCTATCTATAGCTTATTAATAAGGTTTTATACACTTATAGTGGAAGTGTCCAATACTGTTAAAAGAGTATTTGAAATGGCTAAGAATAATATGCAGTTATTGGTCCTTGAAAGTGATGCAATTAATCATCCCTCTCAAATATCGAAAACAAATTTAGCCCCATTGATTTTTTACGTGAAAATAGACAATGTTAAAGTATGTTACAAACTGAAAATTTATTTAAAAATATTAGATATTTCTTTACAAAAACTAAATAAAATATTTTACGCTGTTATCCATGTGCAATAGGTTTTACAACGGTTAATCAAATCTCGTGGAAAGAGTCAGAGTAAATATATGAATGCTCAGTTGGTTGCTGCAGAGAAATTGCAATTATGTAATGAGGTTAGTAATTACTATCATAAAAGTAGACTATGCCTGCCTATATGTAATTTTACTAAGAAATTATAACATTGGATTGCTACAGGATCAATTTGCAGCTATTTTAAATGAAAATCTATTACGTGAAGCATGTGAACATCTTGGTGATACATTGGAAGAATATTGGTTAGCTTGTCATCCACCTTCGAGTGTCTCTCGCAATCAATCAGCTAACTGTTCACCTGCTAGAAGTCGACATGATACATTGCATAATGTATCAAGGCACCAAACACCTAAAAATTCGCCTAAACTTCCGCAAAGACTGCATAATTTTCTTTCAAGATCCTCTAGTAATAAAACGTAATGATGTTTGTGCCAATGTCATATTTAATCATATCTTTTTGCTATATTATATCATATAATCACCGCCAAGGTTATCATAGAAGGATTGCTAATATTTTGTGACCTTGCTTCGTTACCTATATTAGAACGGTTATTGTTGAAGCATTTCTAAAGCTATTAGCTTTTTAGTTTATTCGAACGACTGGCTTGAAGTCTTTGTATTTATATTCATGCATCATTAGGTGTGAGAATGACATGGAAGAGAATATAGTATCAATTCCTTTCATCTCATGACAACACTTAACTCATCACTATGCTTTCATGTTACTAGACGAATACAATTGATCTCGTAGTTCTTTTTTTATCCGTGTCCGTACACTATGCAGTGAGCACAGCTTATGTAACTATTATTATTGAGTTAATTTTTTTCTTTTAATAACACAACCTCAAAAGCTCGCTACGGATTAACTGCGCTACGTAGGTTTACCGCTGTATGAAATACCGTATACCGCATAATGCAGATATATATATTTGACCTTTCGGTCCTATTGGCAATATTGTAATATAATAATTATGATTATAGCAGGGCACGCTTGGACTTAAGCCTTAATCAATATAAATATCTTAACCGATGTGTTTCCATCAATTTTACTATTTATTAATTGCACGTCCAATATCAGCACGTATAGTCATTGGATGTTATTTATGACAAAATTTTTAACATATCCGATAAGATTAGCGTATAATATTTTACTTCTATTGAAATTATTTGAGGCTAAATAAATAATAAATTATTTATTGCACTACCTTTTCTGTATTGGTTAGTTTTTTTTTGGTATTCATGCGCAGACGACTAAATAGTCTAGTACAATCAGGTACTTGCTATTTGTAGCAGATCCTGAAAATTTGTAAAGCACAATATCATTAACTCTGTAGTGCATTAAGGGAGAATTGTCTAAGAATGGAGAGCATTCCTGTATTTGATCCAGCTCTCTTAGATGCATCTGTAATTGAATCGCGGCCGCTGGTATGGCTAACAACAACGTGCCATAGCAATAAAAAGAACATTCAAAGCATTTTATTACATATTGTAGAGTAAGGATATAATGACATCCGCAATTAATTAATTACCTTTGAATACTCATCGACTGGAGTCTTGGAAATTTTTTCAAGCTTTGTTAAATTTGACATCTATACCAAACCGTGCATTGTATTTACTCGATAGACTGTATACCTGTAAAGTTTCTGCTGATACCCGTAATATGCAATATCTACCATCAAAAAATTATTATGAACTCAGATTTTTTTTTGTAGCGTCCTATGCAATTGTATTGCAGTTACAGAATTAACTAAGGTTAAAGTTATGAGATTGTTCGAAAACACATTACAGAGTAGTTCAAGTCGGTATTGTTCAAGGTACCAAGTGTACATGCATATATATAACAATAAAGTAAAGTTATACAAGAAATTGTAGTTCTTGCTATAATATTTTGGAGAGAGCTTATAAAACCAATATAAAATTACGATTCGAATAACATAACTTCCATCTTAAAATAGCGGAAAATATTCATGATAGTGAAACAAACATATTGTAGCGTAGGGAAGCTGATCGATTGATCTCAATGCCTTTTTCCGTCTATCCAGGCCTCTGTAATCGTCCGCTCCACACTCCACAGCGCAGTTTCGCAGTTTTACTGTAGGCCTAAACCATCAGCATGTTGTATACTACAAAGTACAAGACCGTAAGATTTCATATTGCTATTACTATCGCGCACACTAAATTCAGTAGCTAGAGTCTCAAATATCATTTGAAGGCTGAACCAGACTAATCCATCAGCTACACATTGCTACCTGGTTACTGTGTGGAAAGACCAAGAGAATTAGCAATGGATGACGAGAGATTTGCTCATATTTCCTATGATCCCAAATTTAAGGTAATTCTCAGTCATAATGCATGTAATAAATCGGTTATAGTAAGTAAAATGGATCTATATTGTAGAGATCAGATGGCCAGTACCAACTGTAGACGATCACTTGTTATTTGGCTTAATTTGCGTAATGACTTTTGCTCGAGGACGAAAATTAAGCCGGCTATAAAATCATTTATAAAGATCATTCAGTTCTCAGTCGATCTTTGAAGTAAAATCAGTAACAG